AATATTCAAACTTCTATAAAGTATATGAAGTGGGTACTTCTCGGAAAGGAAAATTTCAGTCAAACACGATGTGACTATTGTTGGGTTGATTTAATACAACTGCAAAAAATCATTCAAACTTTAAGCAAAAAAGGGCACATTTTTACCACTTTTTTGGATTTTTACCTGCGTAAAAACAGAGCGATTTGTTTTATTTTTATATCATCTTGTGCGGCTATGTTTTAGCTATTGCCATGCAAATTTTGTCGACATGCCAATAAAATTAACTTGCTCAAAATATCAAAAAACATGGTTTTTTGGCCTATTTTTGGCCCAAAAATCGGTTTTTTGCGATTTTACCCGCGTAAACTCAGTCCAATCATCTCGAAACCACTTTTAATTGATTCTACGGTCAAAGATACGTCTAGTAAGGTATATCTGGGGTCCCTAGCGTATCGAGCAGACAATGCCCGTAAGAGCCTCTACTACTCAGCCCGACTAGAGATTCTTTGGAATAACATAAACAAGCCTGTCATACTCGTTGACAGACTGAGCGTGGCCCAGCGCAATAATTTAATTTCATATACTATTTGACCAAAACCCATAATCATGGGTAGAGTGAACCGCTGCCAGTGTCTCTCTTTTCCAAACAAAAGAAAATGATATTAATTTGAGGAACCGTCCGCAAATGCAAATTGATACCGAGAATGAAATCGGTCGCTCGCTTTTCCCATTCAATAAGCTTTATTACAATACGTAAGCCGTGAATGAATGGGAAAAGCGAGCGACCGATTTCATTCTCGGTATCAATTTGCATTTGCGGACGGTTCCTCAAATTAATATCATTTTCTTTTGTTTGGAAAAGAGAGACACTGGCAGCGGTTCACTCTACCCATGATTATGGGTTTTGGTCAAATATCATCTCTTTTTGACTATAATGTCAGGATAATTTACACAGTCGAAACTTAATAAGGAGGTAATTTCAACGATTTCGAAATTTTACCTTTGAAAACGTTTCCTTGTGTTTAGGTAGGCATATCTGTCAATAACAGACTGAATATAGCACTTTTTACTCATTCAAGTTGGCATTAAATTCATATATAATGCCATTTTAATATCGTGGGAAAGCAGAATATATTCGAAATCACGAATGAGCAAAATTCTCACCTTTCGCACGTGCAAACTTTGAGCGGACGTTGCGTGCGCATAAAATATTGAATCACCATAAATTTTTGCATAGTGTTATTTAATATATAGTTTGATAAGCATGAAAAGTTTCAGAAGATTTCAAAAAGAACTTGGATCACAACGGGACTCCAAAGTTGGTAAAAATCGTGAAAATAACAATTTTTAGTGATTTTAGCTATTTTAAATGAATTTGGGCGTGTCCCCACGTGTGCAACTTTTCGATTTTCAACTTTAAAACTAGCCTATAACACAATTTAGACCTTTAAGAAGCAAAATTGAGCTCCACAACCCAAGGGATGGCCCAACACCAGAGAATACTAATTCACAACTTTTGTGTTTTTATAAAATTATTCTTCAAAAAAGCACAAACTTCAATAGCGAATATCTTTATGAAGGAGCAAGGTAGGAAAACTTTCCGGTAGATTTTCAGAATGCTTGAACAATTATCTGAGATGAAAATGTCCTCAGATTTTGAATAAAATTACTCCTTAATGCTTTAAAATCGATTTGAAAAGTTGTTATTTTGTCAAAAATCAAGTTTTAAAAACACTTAAATTGATGACGTCATCAAGTGATGATGATGACGATAAATTATTTTTCGATATAATGTAAACTAAAGTATAAACAATTATCTTTAAAACCTGTGGTTCGAAATGACTGTATCTTTTATACTTTTGAATCTACGGACACTTAAATGTAGGCTACAATTTACTGCAAAAGCGTCTATACATATATACTTATATATATACATATATAGCTTCACGACAATCTGTTGTAAAACAGGGGTTCCAGAAAACCCACTTCCCGATACTCCTGCAACATGAAATTTTTTTTACAGTCGATTTGGACAAGGTCTAGACGCTCTGCAAAGTTTCAGATCTCTAACTCGATTTTAACATGGTTTTTAAGGCACCTGAATATGGCGATTTTGGGTTTTTTACCTAATTTCGTATAACATGCTGGCGCGTATTTTGCGCAAATTTCTTAAAAACCTCCACATAACTATTTCTTATTCCTGTCATCTTTAACATCGAATTAGAATGTTTTGAACTTAAATATACCTGCTGAACTACTTTCGATGAGTCTTAATGCCTGGAAAACAATAAAGGGGATATAATAGTATAGGGGGTACATAGTGTTGTGAATATAAGGGCAACGGTTATGCTTGCCAGCATTGTGATACTTTTCTTTTGCAAGTTCTGGATGTAAAGTGTGTATGACTGATGACGCAGCGGGCATCGACCGCCACCAGGACAACCGTCACCATTAACAACATATAAATAAACGCTTGCAAGCGCTTTATAATTTCTGACAATTACTGTCGGAGAACTTTGCCGCGCCGTGCACTTAGCCTTCTTGCTTGGCTTCTAGATCGCCAGTCAAACAACTATGTTTAAATCCATGTTGATAAATGATAGATAAAGCGGTAAAAACCAGTAATTAAAAGTGATTGTAATCGCCTAACCGCTTTTCAAATCCTGACTCCCGCCTGTGCATGGCAGGTTTAGGGGCATCGAGAAAAGCGCTTATAAGCGCATTTAAATTTCGTGCACTCCAGGTGAACGGATGTTCAGATTTGTGCTTATAATTGTAAGTTTATAACTTACCAGGACGCACGCCGAGTTGGACTCAGCGTAATATTTGAAACAAATATTTTACGAGTATCGCCCGTTAAGCTTATAAGCGCTTTCTAATTCCTGGCACTCTCCCTTATAAGCGCTTTCTAATTTCGGGTACTCCCCCGTTCCGACCACTGACCAGGTTAGGGGCAGCATTGAATAAGCGCTTATAAGCGCTTTTTAATTCCGGGCACTACCCCGTTCCGACCAGGTTAGTGGCAGCATTGAAAAAGCGCTTATAAGCGCTTTCTAATTCCTGCCAACCAGGCCATGGGCGATAGGAAAGCGGTAGAAAAGCAATCATAAGCGCCTATAAGCGCTTTTAAATCCTGACTCTGCCGGTGCACCCCAGGTTGCACAGAAAAGCACTTATAAGCGGGCACCCTGATTTCCAGTTCCGACCAGGTTAAGGGGAATTGAGAAATTGCTTATAAGCGCTTATTAATTCCAGGCACTCTCCAGTTCCGACCAGGTTAAGGGGAATTGAGAAATCGCTTATAAGCGCTTTTTAATTCCGGGCACTCCCCCGTTCCGACCAGGGTAGGGGCAGCATTGAAAAAGCGCTTATAAGGGTTTTTTAATTCCGGGCCCTCCCCCGTTCCGACCAGGTTAGGGGCAGCATTGAAAAAGCGATTATAAGCGCTTTTAAATTCCGGGCACTACCCCGTTCCGACCAGGTTAGGGGCAGCATCGAAAAAGCGCTTATAAGCGCTTTTTAATTCCTGCTCACCTGGCCATGGATGATAGGAAAAGTGGTAAAAGCGGTAAAATAGCGATGAATTAGCCGTTATAAGCGATTTCTAAAAAAGCGATTATAATCGATTATAAGCGGTTATAAAATGTAATATAGCGTTTTCCTGACTCAATTTTAAAAGCGCTTATAAGCGCTTTATTTCCGCTTTACAAACAGCTAAATTGCACCCCACTTATAAGCGCTTATAATCGCTTATAAATGGTTCAAAAAAGCGCCTACGAATCGATTATCCGGCCAACCGCTTATCCACCCGTTTTTGGCGCCAATCCTACTGGAAAACCGCTTTCAAATCGCTCAGCGACGCTAGTAAGCGCTTAAAAGCGCTTATAAGCGCTTTTAAATTCAAAAAAGCGCTTTTTTGAATTATGACATCAATTATAGTCGATTATAAGCGATTTTTTTTTAACCGTTTATAATCGTAAAAAAATCGATTATAAACGGTTTTTAAAAAAAAAGCGCCGAGAAAGCGCTCAATAAGCGATTATCGGCGCCGATCATAAAATATCGTTTATGGAAACTTGCCCAAAACGGCAAGTTTCCATAAACGATATTTTATGATCGGCGCCGATAATCGCTTATTGAGCGCTTTCTCGGCGCTAATTAATTATTATATATTATTATTATATATATTATTATATATAACTAATTAATTATTAGCTAATTAACTAAAAGTTTGGGGGATGAAGAGGCCCGGTATATCAATGTACCCGGTATAGAGAGGCACGGTATAAAAAGATTTGACTGTACTTGTCCCCATAACTTTCATATTATGCTTGTTTTATGATGTTAATGTTGTTACTCAATTAGTACTCAAATTAATAAAATTTTAATTTCAAACTTGTAAGAACAATTATAATAGCTAGCTTTGTCACATTTCATACGATAGGAAAGTGTAAAAATCATAAGAACAAATGTATTAATGTACGTATATTGTATCAGATTATGAAAGTTTATCCATTGCTATCATCACAGTAGTAATTTAATAGTATACACTATACAAATTACAATACGTCAAAAAATCAACGTAACAAAAAATCAACGTAACAAAAAATCAACGTAACAAAAATCAACGTAACAAAACTAAGATGCCTGCGAAACATCGCCAAATTCTCGAAAATGAATTCTTTTGTTGTACAGCAAGCACACTGAATCATATTTTTTAAGCATAGCATAAATTATGATTTCTCAATGGGGGTTGCATGAAGATAATTTGATATTTAAAGTACTATTTAACTGTTTAATTATAAATGCCTAAATTCCATTAACATTTTAACAACTAGGTACATGATAAAATACCGCGGGTATTTTGTAATTATGTTATGGTAATCCTTACTTCAGTCTTAATAACACAGATTAAAACTAGATCAAAAGTCTTTTTACATCCTAGATGGTGCTTCAGTTTTCAATGCCTCGTGGGCCCGTTTTTACTCATCTTTGAGACATCCCTCGTTCAAGCTCACTCAAATGACACCTCCTTGTTCCCTCAGTTGATCAACTCTGTCGTCCAAGTGAGAGTAGATGTTCTCGTCGGGCTCACTTCCTGGTGTGCAGTTGTTCCATTCAGCACACCAACTTCTTTCTTCTTCCTCTGGCTCCTCCTGAAGTCTCACCGCTGATGGTCCTGCTCCTTCCGGCCAGTCACTGTACTCAACGTTAGGGGTCAATATGGAAGAATACCTTACTGCAACTCCTTGTTCTGGTGTCGTTACTTTCTCTTTCTTTTTCTTCATCATAAGGACTGCTAGGACGATGCACACTAAACCTAGTACGACTGCAATGCCAGCTATGATGGCAGTCATACCTCTACCACCGTGAACTATTTTTTCAGAGGACCCCTCTTTTCCTAGAGACTTCATTATACAAAAGACTCCATTGCCTATCTTGTCCAGTTCATTGCACACATCACAAGTGTATTGCTTCCAATACTGCCCGATTTCGCATGTTTGACATTGCGGAGATCCCTTTTTCGAAATAGTGTAGAGAGGACATTTTGTACACTCTACGGCAAAGTCACCACTGTAGTAATTCTCAGGACAGGGAATGCATTTCATTGTTTGGGAATGCCAGTAGTTTCCAGCAAGGCAGCTACACGCAGTATCGCTAAGAATAGAAGTAGTTCCATTTGGGCACTGGGTGCATTTTCCGATTGACTTCTGGAAGAAGTCATTTCCTGTGCACAGGATACACTTGTTGTTGCTCCAGAAAGTTTTTGTGCCACAAGAACAGTGACTTGATCCTGGTCGTGAGGTTGAGGAGGATGTGCAATCTTTACAGAAACTCATGTTTCCGACCTTGTAGTAGTTTTGTGGACATAGCTTACATGATCCAGTTGTTGGACTTTCCCACTCCCAGGTCATACCGTCCTCACAAACGCAGCTTGATTGGTTAGTTAATGTTCCTCTGTCACAAGTCATGCATCTAGATGCTCCTTTTGCGCTAGCTGAACCAGAGCTGCATTCTTCACAGTTCTGCCCATTCCAGAAGATCCCAGCAGGACAGGTACAAGACTGTGATCCAGATAGAGAAGTAGAAGGAGATGGGCAGTCTCTACAAGTGATCATTCCCCCAACTTTGTATGTGTTCGATAAGCAAGGCTTGCAGGACCCATTGCTTGGACCATCCCATTCCCAGACTATACCATCTTCACAGAGACAACCAGTGAGATCCTCAGTTGCACCATCACTACAAGTGATACAAGTAGTTGCTCCTCTGAAGCTAGCTGTGCCAGAGCCACACGGTTCACAGTTTTCCCCACTCCAAAAGCTTCCTTTTTCACAAGAACATGTTGCTGATCCTGCTAGAGATGATGCCCCTGTTGGACACAACTCGCATTGCATCACTGCTCCAGCCTTAAATTTGCCTTCTGGGCAAGGCACACATTTTCCTTCCATCTCATGATCCCACATCCAGTACTGCCCGTCTGGACAATCACAAGAACTCCCATCATCATTAGGCAGTGAGTCAACTGGACACTGAAAACATTTTCCACTAACACTTGCAGAGTCACTGGGACATTTTCTACATCGCCCATTACTCCACTGGGTTCCGACTCGGCAATCACACTGGACAGAGCCTGGCTTGGAGGTGGCGACACCTGGACATCTTATACAGGATGTAGATCCTGAGGTAGGACTGAAGAAGTTGGCAGGGCACATTGCACAGGTTAAGTTGTGTGTGTAGTGGCCTGCAGGACAGTCAGGTTTTGGACAAGTGATTTGGGGAGGACATGTTGGGTTTGGTAGACAAGTTGGTTGGGGAGGACAGGTTGGGTGTGGTGGACAGGTTGGGATTGGTGGACAGGTTGGGATTGGTGGACAGGTTGGGTGTGGTGGACAGGTTGGGTTTGGTGGACAGGTTGGGTTTGGTGGACAGGTTGGGATTGGTGGACAGGTTGGGTGTGGTGGACAGGTTGGGTTTGGTGGACAGGTTGGGTTTGGTGGACAGGTTGGGTGTGGTGGACAGGTGAGCACAGGTGGATATGTTGGGTGTGGTGGACAGGTTGGGTTTGGTGGACAGGTTGGGTTTGGTGGACAGGTTGGGTGTGGTGGACAGGTTGGGTGTGGTGGACAGGTTGGGTTTGGTGGACAGGTTGGGTTTGGTGGACAGGTTGGGTTTGGTGGACAGGTTGGGTTTGGTGGACAGGTGAGCACAGGTGGACAGGTTGGGTGTGGTGGACAGGTGAGCACAGGTGGACAGGTTGGGTTTGGTGGACAGGTTGGGTGTTGTGGACAATCTGGACATGTAACCTGTGGACATGCGGTTGCAGGAGGACAGGTCAACTGCGGACAAGTTGGCGCAGCAGGGGCTTCTGGGCAGGTTAGTTCCTGGCACATTGGGACTGTGCATTCAATTTGAGGCGGACACGTTGCTACTTCATCGATAGATCCTTCACAGGACAAGAACACATCCTCACTATGACCACAGTTGTGTGTAGTGGAGTAGGAGCACGAGTTCCACTCTCCACTTGAGCAGTCAACGTTATCCAACTTTATTTCTCTATCTCCTTGGATGTCGCCGAGTCGATTTCCAGATGTCCTTTCTTGAAGTCCTGTGAAGCCAATAAAACGACAAATTGCCATACCTGCGTTGTCGTCAAAGCTGTCGTCACAAACTGTTCCGTCGTTATAGAGAAGCAATGCGAGTGATCCTCCGTTAAGAACTTCGTTGCCGTTGTTGTCAATCAGTGAAAATTGGGGTGCTCCTGAAATTACATCTTTACAAATTTTTATTGGCAGTCGGTAGTATTTTATATATTTTTCAAACTATAATAATCACCCGAAATGCAAAGATGATAATTACGTCACCTTGACAAGTTAGAAAGACATCCTCAGAATGTCTACAGTTGTGAGTCTCTGTGTAGGAACAGCTATCCCATTCTCCACTGCTATCACAGTTCACATTGTCCAACTCTATCTCGTAGTTATCCTGTATTGTCCACTCGGTGTCCGAGTTCCAAGATATCTGCAGTCCAAACCCCATCTTTCGACAGATGGCATTCCCGGAATATTCGTTGAAAGAGTCGTCGCATACCGTTCCGCCTTTCCAGAGCAGAAGTCCTTCGGCTTGTGTTGTTATTGGCTGTCCATCTCTGTCCACCAATGTAAATTCGGCTATCAAGACTGAAAATAACTACTGATAGATTGATTTGGAATTGTATATCACTACATACCTCAAACGACTAGTTCCGATAAACTAGCATCCTTTCTGATAGTAATTCTGTTGTTTCCTTATTAGTAAGTTCCTTCGCTAAAATGTTTTTATTAAGTCAACCAAATTTTCGTGCGTCTTACGAAAAGATTTGTTGTTCATTGCGAGGCATAGGTAGTAACGTTCTGTGGTTATCAACAGCTACCATATCGTTAAAAAGTTGTAAGTTATAAAATATTCGAGATCGGAGATTTATTAGCAATTAACATGTTACCTTATTCCGTACACTTTAATTCAGACTTGCAGTTAAAACAGCAAACGGGAGAGTAACTAACAAGTACAGAAAATATTTAAACACCCGTTTATTATTTCGTTCATTGCCGTTCAAATTGTTACCAATCAGTTCAATTCATATTATGTAATGTGTTGCCGAAGGTTGACGTAAAACAACTGCAATGACAGGATCAGTTCATTCCGTCAACAACTAAAATAACAAAGTACGTAACATAATATACTAAGTCCTTCTTAATGGAATGTGTTGGCATAGTACCTGCCTTATGAAGTCAAGTTAATAGATCCACGTCACGAAAATGATATTTTGTCATGGTAATGAGTAGTGAATAATTTAAACCAATCATCCCTAAAAAGATGATATTATGTCATAGCAATACTAGCATGCACTACTTTAAATTTCTTTACCCAATATTGTGCTTCTAACTTATTAAAATGGTTACATGATTACATTGAACGCTTGAGTGTGATGGTATATTATATACTATTAAATAGTATTAGATTGTTACGTCATGATGTTAAAACAGTTGTTCATTGCATTATAATTGATTAATCACAATGCTGGCAAGCATTACCGTCGCCCTTATATTCACAATACTATTTACCCCCTATACTATTATATCCCCTTTATTGATTTCCAGGCATTAAGACTCATCGAAAGTAGATCAGCAGGTACATTTAAGTTCAAAACATTCTAATTCAATGTTAAAGATGACAGGAATAAGAAATAGTTATATGGAGGTTTTTAAGAAATTTGCGCAAAATACGCGCCAGCATGTTATACGAAATTAGGTAAAAAACCCAAAATCGCCATATTCAGGTGCCTTAAAAACCATGTTAAAATTGAGTTAGAGATCTGAAACTTTGCAGGGCGTCTAGACCTTGTCCAAATCGACTGTAAAAAAAATCTCATGTTTCAGGAGTATCGTGAAGTGGGTTTTCTGGAACCCCTGTTTTACAACAGATTGTCGTGAAGATATATATATATATAATATAGACGCTTTTTGCAGTCAATTGTAGCCTACATTTAAGTGTCCGTAGATTCGAAAGTATAAACGATACAGTCATCTCGAACCACAGGTTTTAAAGATAATCGTTTAAGCTTTAGTTTACATTGTATTGAAAAATAATTTAACGTCATCATCATCACTTGATGACGTCATCAAATTAAGTGTTTTAAAAACTTGATTTTTGACAAAGTAACAACTTTTCAAATCGATTTTACGCTATTAAGGAGTAATTTTATTCAAAATCTGAGGACATTTTTACCTTAGATAATTGTTCAAGCATTCCGAAAATCTACCGGAATAGTTTCCTACCTTGCTCCTTCATAAAGATATTTGCTATTGAAGTTAGTGCTTTTTTGAAGAATAATTTTATAAAAACACAAAAGTTGTGAATTAGTATTCTCTGGTGTTGGGTCATCCCTTGGGTTGTGGAGCTCAATTTTGCTTCTTAAAGGTGTAAATTGTGTTATAGGCTAGTTTTAAAGTTAAAAATCGAAAAGTTGCACACGTGGGGACACGCCCAAATTTATTTAAAATAGCTAAAATCACTAAAAATTTTGATTTTCACGATTTTTATCAACTTTGGAGTCCCGTTGTGATCCAAGTTCTTTTTGAAATCTTCTGAAACTTTGCATGCTTATCAAACTATATATTAAATACCACTATGCAAAAATTTACGGTGATTCAATATTGTATGCGCACGCAACGTCCGCTCAAAGTTTGCACGTGCGAAAGGTGAGAATTTTGCTCATTCGTGATTTCGAATATATTCTGCTTTCCACGATATTTAAATGGCATTATATATGAATTTAATGCCAACTTGAATGAGTAAAAAGTGCCATATTCAGTCGGTTATCGACAGATATACCTAACTAAACACAAGGAAACGTTTTCAAAGGCAGAATTTCGAAATCGTCGGAATTACCTCCTTGTTAATGAAGTTTCGATTGTGTAAATTATCCTGACATTATAATCAAAAAGAGATGATATTTGACCAAAACCCATAATCATGGGTAGAGTGTACCGCTGCCAGTGTCTCTCTTTTCCAAACAAAAGGAAATGATATTAATTTGAGGAACCGTCCGCTAATGCAAATTGATACCGAGAATGAAATCGGTCGCTCGCTTTTCCCATTTAATAAGCTTTATTACAATTCGTAAGCCGTGAATGAATGGGAAAAGCGAGCGACCGATTTCATTCTCGGTATCAATTTGCATTAGCGGACGGTTCCTCAAATTAATATCATTTCCTTTTGTTTGGAAAAGAGAGACACTGGCAGCGGTACACTCTACCCATGATTATGGGTTTTGGTCAAATTTAAATAACCGCAAAATGTAGATCAAATATAACAAAGATACATTTTTTTAAATGTTAACAATTTAAAAAATGTAAAAAATGTATTATCTCTTACCCGACATGAGGAATACCAATAATAGGGCAGAGAGCAAACGAATCATAGTGCGGGTTATACAAATATTTCAACAAAGCGAAAATGTATCTAATTTAATGTGATCAAATCGTAGACTTATGTGATTGCAGAAGATGGTGAAAATGTCCCTCTGAGTAGGTATGGAAGTTCTTGTTATTGTGAAATCATAGGTGTCGAATTTGAACCCGTCCAGAGTGAAAATGTGTTATTAGTGTATTTAATCATCACATTATGCAGTAAAGATTACAGTAGGAGCTGGTACAAACTTGAATTTGAGATTATTTTGACCAAATAATTCCTGAAAAACCTGTGCTATTCTTTTCTGAGATGACCCAGCACAACTATTAAGTATAATTAACTGAGCTACTATATCTTAAACTTGAAGAAATTCCCCCAGCAACGACTTGAAACCACAGAGAATTGACTAGTGACCTTTCTCATGTTCTGATTTTGGCTCGAAAGTTGACCGGGAAATTCGAAATTTTAGGTAAGGTTGTACAGAAAAGGATGTGCATATTATATAATATTATTAATATTAAAAATGTAACATCAATGACTGATTCATATAACTCCCTCTAACAAAGAAGGTAAGTAAAATAATAAATTAACTTAAATTTGGAGTTTAAAGTATTTTATTTTTCATAATACAAGCGGGATGTAAAAGCGATATTTCATTTCATGATGAACTCATTTCTGCTGGTGTGTGTTGAGTTTTACAAACAAATTCAAACGGAGGATACGATATATTATCTTAATAAATACCTGAATGATAAGGCGAATCGGTTCGCCACTACGGCTTGTGATGGTGAAACTGGGGAGGTATCTGAAAACATTGTTTATGTCACTGGTTGGTTTAGGATGGAATGTTGCTGCTACATTGAATTTACACTTATACCGTGTATTTGGACGTCGTGTTCTCTTTTATTGAAGAGTAGCTTTGTTTAAGCCATCTTCAAGATGGTTGTAGTTTTACAGCAAGACTATTAGTTTCATTATATATTTGCTCTAAAAACACGTTGAATGCTGGTTAACATTATATTTATTATCCTCCTCGATCACCGCATCACTATTATAATTATAGTATTATAGGACTAGCAAAGACAATATCCCACAAACAGTAGCACTAACCAATACCATATTACACTAACAATAATATATTTCTAGATGGTATTTTAGCAGAAGCTGGGAATGTTGTGATATACAAAATGATAAATTAAATGTACATATGTGGGACAGGGAGAGACACGGTCAAATGAGGTCACGTAAATAGAGTTTACCGGAAGATAAACTTCACTAATATTCCGTGCGAAGAATTCATTATGATCTTGTTGAACTTGTAAAACGGTTAAAGTTCTTGTAATGTACGGCACCGACAATTAGTTTTAGATTGCTCGTTAACATCAATTTCAAATATGGCGCCCTTGGCTGCAACATTTTAGGACTAACCTTGCCCATTAAACTCAAGTTGCTTCCTTAGTCCACATACACCAAGGCCAAGTCTTGAAAAAATAATAAACATGATGTGATAATTCCTAGCCCTCAAGCCCTGTCCTTAACTCCGATCTCAGCCCTAACCCAGGATCCATAAAATAACATAATATAAGGATGTTAAACTGCAGGCCATCTTCATGATTTTTGTCAGGTATTGGAGGTGTTTATATTTAACTTTGTTCTAAAGTTCTATTATCGTTTAATTATTTTAACAAATTTCGTAACCCACTGATATAATTTAATCCTTAGTTCGTTGAATGGTTGGTTGATCACCACAAACTTCAGGCCATGCCTGACGTACTTTTGGTGGTAGCACTTGTCTTCGTAACCCTCTTAGACCATGTCGATTGTAAACAACACAATATAGTGGTAATAGTAGCAGATGACCTGGGATACAACGATGTAGGATTCAGAGGATCTATTGCACTGACTCCAAATATTGATAGACTTGCTAACAAGAGTGTGATTCTGGAGAATCACATCGTAGCTGCTAGCTGCTCTCCTACTCGATCTGCTCTTATGACTGGTCGGTATCCAATCCGAACAGGATTCTGGAAGGGAAATATCAAACCAATGGAGGAGTTTGGATTGGGATTGGACGAGACCTTGCTCCCTGAGATGCTGAAAACAAAAGGAAACTCGACACACGGCGTAGGAAAATGGCATCTTGGTATGCATACTTGGGAACACACGCCTGCAAAGAGAGGTTTCGATACCTGGTTTGGTTCGTACAACAGTGAACAGGATTATTTCAAACATACAATGGCAAACCTGACAGACTTTAGGGAAAACTATTACGATGAGAATAGTAATTTAGTTGACGACATCCGGAATGATCTAACGGGACAGTATAACACATATCTGTTCACTGACAAGTCATTTGAGCTCATTCAAAACCACAACCAAAGCAACCCCTTCTTTCTTTATTTAGCATACACTGCACCTCATGTTCCCCACCAAGCTTTTAAGGAAGATGTAAAAAGATTTGCCTTACACATTCCTAAAAATACTCGTCAAAGAGAAGAGAGACAAATATATACGACTCAGATATCTGTAATGGATGAAGGGATAGGAAAAGTAATTGACACTCTACGTCTGAAAAGAATGATGGACAACACTGTTTTGTTATTCACTTCAGACAATGGAGCCTGTCATTTTGGAAGCAACTATCCTCTGAGAGGAGGTAAGAGATCTTATCTGGAAGGAGGCGTCAGAGCAGTATCCTTTGTTCACAGCCCACTCCTTGAAAAGTCTGGTTACACCAACACCAACTTACACCATGTGACTGATTGGTATGCTACATTTCAGAAACTAGCGGGAGACAACCCAGAGAAGCACAGTAAACCACAGTTACCAATAGACGGAGTTGACATCTGGAGATCTATCAATAATAACGAATCTTGCCGCGATGAGATTCTTTATGAATTGAGGGATCCTTCTAAAAGGCTGGACCCGGCAGGCAGAAATGGACTTGACAATCAACAATGCCAAAAAATATCCAATCAACCTCAAAACATTTGAAGCAAAATTCCGCAAAGCAAAACAAAAATTTTCTTCAGCGCAAGACTTTTTCGCTATTCGATGGAAGAATTGGAAGCTTCTTGTCGGCACAGGAATAATACTCCAAGGTTGGACTTCAGAAAGTGGACAGAGACACGAATACAACGGCCACGGGTCTTAAGTTACGGAGGAAAAATGCATATATGGAGAATAGTGTCTGGAACATTCCTTTTTGATCTGACCACAGATGTCAGAGAGGAACACAATATAGCTGATAAATATCCTGATATGGTGATGAAATTGCTGGATAAAAAACAAGGATATTTGGACAAGATGAAGACGGTTGAAGAACGGAATTTTTCAAATAAAGGAAAGGTTGATGGAGTTTGGAAACCCTGGGTAGAACTATGAAATGGTTGAATGTGAAGTTGTTAAACAATGATATTTTTGCAATATAGTTATTACACCGATAAAATAAAGAATTTTAATTGTATTTTGATGGCTATCTGGAATTATTCCGTGAAAGAAAATTGCACGACCGTAATTATTATTTTTCATAATTTCAATATTCCCTTAAGTTGAATTCAAATTGAAAAACTCTTAAATTGCTAAAATGTCACCTCAAAAACTACAGGTAGCAAAATCAATACATATTCAGACTTTAAAGAATAGAAATTAGAAATTAGAAATTAGAAATTAGAAATTAGAAATTAGAAATTAGAAATTAGAAATTAGAAATTAGAAATTAGAAATTAGAAATTAGAAATTAGAAATTAGAAATTAGAAATTAGAAATTAGAAATTAGAAATTAGAAATTAGAAATTAGAAATTAGAAATTAGAAATTAGAAATTGGAAATGGGAAATTGGAAATGGAAAATTAGAAATTAGAAATTAGAAATTAGAAATTAGAAATTAGAAATTAGAAATTGGAAATTAGAAATTAGAAATTGGAAATTGGAAATTAGAAGCCCCCTACGGTGTACGAGGAGGGCCACTAATAAAAAATATAGCACTTTCGAAAAAATATACATTTTTTAGTATGAAATATATAGAAAATATAGAAAATATAGAAAATATATAAAATATAGAAAATATAGAAAATATATAAAATATATAAAATATACAAAATATATAAAATATACAAAATATATAAAATATACAAAATATATAAAATATATAAAATATATAAAATATACAAAATATATAAAATATATAAAATATATAAAATATACAAAATATATAAAATATACAAAATATATAAAATATACAAAATATATAAAATATACAAAATATATAAAATATACAAAATATATAAAATATACAAAATATAGCATTTATAAAAAAACATACTTTTTTTAAAAACGTACATTTTTGTAAAACGTACATTTTTTGTAAAACGTATATTTTTTAGTGGCCCTCCTCGTACGACTCGTGTACGAAAAGGGCCACTAAAAACGTACGTGATACGCGCGCATTTATATAGGAAATGGCAAGCCCTAAATCGCAAAAAATCACTTTATTTTTATTGTGCGCATTGCCATAACTATTTACAGATTTGGTCAATTTGAAAACTGTTTTCATCACGTTGTTCCTTATGAACAAATAAAAGTTCGCATATCAATTTCCACTAGGTTTGACTAATTTATGTGCCTCTAGACTCATCTAACCATGTTCCTCGTGCAAAATAGTCAAGAGTAGCCAAATAAATACAAATTTAGGGTAATTAACTAATTAAGGGGTCAGGAATCGACATTTTCGATCAGCAGGGGACTGCGCGCTCACTGAAACTGTGTTATTTTTTTTGACGATTTAGGGTTGGCTACAATAGCCCTGATACTTCGCGCGCGCAGCGCTGAGCGCGCGAGTCTACATGCGCCAGACACAGATCAGGGGCTGCCAACTGACTTTTGCGCGCGGCTTGGACCCCAGATATACCAGGGTCTTGCCCGTGGAATTCACGGATCCGGGTCTAGCATTTTTAAATTTTTTACATTATTAAATGTATCTTTGATTTCTTTCTTGAAGTAGACCGGACTGGATTTGGACGCCGAACATGATGCCGTACACCATTTGTTTCTATTTCGCTTCCCTAATACACAATTTTACTCCCAAAATGCAGCACGATAATCGTATGTGTTTGATTGCTCGCGCACAACAGTTCATATGCAACACTTGGTTCCTTACCCCTTGTACGCGAAGCGTGCGGGGGTAAGTGATCACTTACTAAATTTAGGGTTAACGCATGGAGTTCGCGGCTCGACAAAATTTGGGGTCAAAATCATTTATTTTTGGCAGAACTTTCTGGGAATTTGGTACAGCCTGCATGCAGCTTAGCCTGTCTGAGGTGTTCTGGACAGGTTTCGACCAGTTGTCAGCTGGTTCTCATCAATAGGATATGTGGGGCAGAAGGAACAAAGCGTGGAAATCGTGTAGAATAATGGCTTGTCTGAAGATTTAATAGTAGAGTTCCTCCTTCATCAAATTATTCGCCTTTACTTCGATGCAGTTTTGGGCCACAGGCCACGTCATATTAATCAAGCAGGGTTCTCTAATATTGACATTAACCATTTACTATAACTATTGTAGGAAACGTCATATCACTGATGATTACGAAATATATTTGATGAAGTCTCTGCTTCTTATTGCTTCACAACTCGACTGATTGAGGTTATGAATTTATACCAATGTTACAAATACGTTTTAAGCAAGAAAATATAATTCTGTATTCAGATTATGCAGAATTTTGAGCGTTTTAACAGGGGGTGGCGGATATGGGTGCTATGTATGAAACTTAGAAGGGACTGCAGGGTGCCAATAGTTCTGTTTCCGCCTCCCAGAAACCGCCCTCCCACTCCTTTGGTGATCTTGCATTGGCCTATCTCAGCTGCTCCTTCGACGACATCAAAATCTACCAGATTATCCAGATCAGCAGTTTACGCTCCCCACAGTGGCACTCAGGTGGGCGTCAGGGGGGGGGGGGCTTAGCCCCAACTCAATATGTGCTTCGATTTTTTGAGCTCACTCGGCACTGCTGCGCGGCACCTCGATCGTGGTAACCCATAAAATAATACCCAATATAATACCTTGCCATATTTGAGTCTGAACCAGAAATTATTGCAGATACCAGTACATATTTAAGGCCACAGGGGGGGGGGGGTCCGAGGTCGATTTTTCGATTTTCATATATTGTTGTAGAGCTCGGTCCAAATTTTCAGATGCTGTTGTCCGTATCCTTAAAGGATGCTCCATTCCCAAGATATTGTGCGTGCAAGTTTGAGGTTTACCTGTAATTACAGTGCAACTGCAAACTTTAAATGAAATTTTGTTTGAAAATTATCTTCTTCTTAATTTTTCATGTTTGGGCCTTGTAACTTGGTGCACAGATGTTCTTAACAATCTTACGCAAAATCCTATTCTAGCGATTAATTATATTTCACCCAGAAGCTGAGATATGAGGTTAACCATGGGAGCGTTTTCGAAATTTGACAATTGTAACCTCATAAAATGAGAAGGAAGCAAAATAAAATAAATCGCTAGAATAGAAATGCTTGTTATCATCCAAGGAACATATTTACAAAGTTTGAGGTGATTTTGATGAAAACTGTAGGAGAAGATAGATTTTAAAGGCCCGATTTAGAGGTTTTCAGGAGAGCCATTTTAAGGTATTTTTATTATTATATACCAGTCAGTAAACAATATATCGGTTGTATGTTGATAATTATAGTTCCATGTATCTGTTATACTAGTTTAGTGAAAATTTAAGATGAAAATTCCAATTTTGAGGTTAACCAGGGGCCTAGTATGTTGAATTATTTTAGTAAATAATGCCTAAAAGTTAACCTCATTTTCTACACTTATTGTATACAGTTTAATACTAATGTCTATCAATATCTATTTTTTTAAGTATTATCTTATATTAAACAGTCATTCAAGAGTTGATTCATGCATGTAGTCCTGATGAATCAAAGCAGAAAATTAGGAAAACGGGCCATAAATGGTTAACCTCTTTTTTTTCAAATTTGACCGAAATCATGTCGTTTTTGAACTGACTTGGGTAATATTGAACTGTAGAATCGAATGCAACAACTTCTATTGATGTGGGGCTGAGGGAAATACCTGAATTTGCATGATAAAAGAGGTTAACTTCATTTTAAGCCAAATTATGGTTGTCCCAGTTCATTCTTTCATTGGAATTTGTTGGATATCTTGATTATTTTAACTTCCACCCCTTTTTTGATAGTTATTGCTTCGTAGCTGATTTATATGCGATAAAACAAAAGTTAACCTCATTTTTTAGGAAAATTGGTGGCTGAAATCATGAAAATGTTGGGCAGCCTCAAACTTCAATTACACTTTTATTGTTTTAAGTCGCCACAATGGAATTATTTTAAGTGTTTTGCCTGATAGTTTAGATTTAATTGCAGCAGACATGAAAATAGCAAAAACGGTTAACCTCAATTTTCTCAAATACTAGTAACATTCAGCAAAAATCAAGTTCACCATGCGAAAGCCCTCGAAAAATTGAATGAAATATGTAAAAATCGTGAATCTCAAATTTTTTTCACTGGGACTGATTGATTGAAAACTCCCAATTATGGGAGCTGGCATAAGCCGCAATAATATAGATAAAATATAAAACAATAGTATTATATGCGAAACTCAACGATCGCTTAACAATCTGAACTCTCCCCCGAAGACAAAGCTTGTGTGGTGAAAGAGCACCAGAAAATATAGCTAAACATCTATAACTATATTACTCCTCCTGGTTGAGTCTTCCTCCTTCAAGAGTTTCAGAATCTCTCCGTTATTGACTAGCAGCCTCTTATATTATAATTTTATATTCTATAGATTACCGTGTTTTATCACATTGGATTACTATATCATTACAAATTCACACTCAAGTTGCAATTTCAAGTGGCCTTAAACTTAAATCTACATAATTGCTCAAATGGTTATAGCAATTGAAATCGGTAATTCAAAATTATTGCATATTTATAAATTGTATACCGAGAATGTTAGCAGTCTCCAAGAAGCCTGACACATTTCCGCAGACATCACCGCATACTTTGCCATATCTCGAGTTCACGATGAGATAGAGCAATGATTGTTATCTTAAACCAAAATAAAGACAATTTCTGATAAGAATAGTATGGTCTTAACTTTAAAAATTGTCAAGAAGCAAGGAATAACTTTTATTACCCATTCTATTTCACTTGTGTAACCATACCGAGAGACAGATCTGTGGAATGCTGGCTAAAGTACCAACATTCCTGCGACATTACTAGTACATCATTGCAAGTAATAGTTCCAATTATAAGCTAAAGTGTAGTATTTGCTGTTCACTCAAGTCTCAACATAAGACAATACAAAATAAAATAGATCTCGTAAATATGTTACTTATAGAATCGTTTGTACTATTTTGTCCCCAAATTGTGCCTGAACTATGTCCCAAAGTTGTGCTCCTACTGTGCCTAGCTAGATTACCAAGTGGCCCAAAGCTTCCAGTGTTCCAATGAAGCCTCGTAATTTGAAGGTTCCAAATGGTGGGGTAAATTCGTCTTCGTCCAGCAAGAAACCTGAGAGTAAACTGGCCTTACAGCCTCAGTCTGGGATAGTACTAATTCGATCGCCATGCTATCACGTGACCTTTAGAGTTTTGTCATCTTGGAAGCTTCCAGGAAGTTGATTATTGGAACATTGGCCCTTTTCTAAACCCTAACAACACCCCTGAAGCCATACATAACCCTAACCCAAACCGTAAAATTGTATAGGCAATGGGAAGCACCAATTTACGTTATGGCGATAAATCACGTGACAGGTCACGTGACTAAACGGTTTTTAGCCTATATCTTTTGATTTTGACCTGCTAAGTTGACTGTCACTATATGCTTATCGGATCCAGCTCATCAAAACGCATCAGACGAAGTAGGTCTTGTTCATATATTCCTCATATAACGAGATACAGAACTGGATGCGACAAATGGCATGGCGATCGAATTAGTAGAACCGCTCAGTCTGGGCTCATAACCAACTATTGCAATGGATGAGAATGAGCCCTTCAAAGCAATCCTGCCAAAAGGCGCTCAATTTCGCAGTGACTTAGAACAGAGGCTCAAGAAATGCACCCAGCCGGTTATCTGCAAGCAGTTTAGGGCTGGGAAATGCCTGCATGGCTTCAACGGGATGAAGTAAGTCTATGGAGAAACCTGCCAATTCGAAAAAACGTATAATTAAGTTCTGTCATTTTGGTAAGGATGCCGACAAAGGCTGTACAAATGGCAAGTAATGTAACTACTTCCATCCAACCCTATGTATATAGAAGCACATTCAGGAAGAAGCAGTGTGCAGATAAAGACTGTGCACCTATGTTTACCATAAGAAGGAGGAGGCTAAGAAGAAAGTGACCAAGGAAGTCTTCAAGAAAGAGGCGAAGTCGAAAGAATAGCTATCCACAAAATCTAAAAAGACAAGGAGGATCCTTTTTTAGAGTTGAGAGAGCTGGTTATATCGATGAGAACCAGCTTCGATGAGCAGATCAAGTCGATCAGAGGGTGTCTGTCGGCTCAGGACCCGGAACAGTGCAGAGCAGAGTGCAGACTAGCATAGCAGTCAGTGTAGTCGAGCACCACTTTAGGCATGGGATTAACCTCGAGGAATGACCCACACTTATCAGTGCTGTTGCTAAATGCACAAGTAAACAAAAAAATTCAAGTAAACAAAAATGTATTATTTATCAACGAATCAATACATAAATATTAGACTAATATATAAAGTGTCCAAGTATTTATCGATTTTAACCTAAAGTTTCAGTATCACTACACTACATACCCTACTACCCTATCCGAGAAAAGTTTCAAACTACTTAATATTGTCTACTATCATGATCATATTAAAATTAGTATGCTCCCAAAAGATTGTCAGAGGGTGGAGGGGGTACTTTCAAAAATGTTTACAACCGTAAATGTTCTATTTAGAATTGAAAAATTTAAATTATGTTTTTTACCCTTTTTATTGTTATTTTTCTGTATAATTTGAAAGAAGAAAATTAACACGAGGGAGTTTATTTCTCAACGTTTCAAAACCAATGGTGGTTCCTTCATCAGGAGATGATGAAGTGCAGTGTGAGGGGGTATTTGAATGGAGTGGTGGTGTCAAGTGATCAGGTGGGAGGTGAAAATACATCAATCATAAAACTAAAAACTCAATCAAACAGGATCAATAACGAGCAGGAGGAGCGGTGTCAGCAAGAGGGAGGGATGCAGGCTTGGACTTCATGGAGTTGGAAAGTTTAGGAAGGAGGGGGTTCCAGAGGGAATGGATATTGGGGCCTACTAGCTGGCGGTTGCAGATAGGGTTGCGGATTTTGATGGCTGCGTGCTCGGCAAGGTTCAGGTGGTAGCGGGAGGAGGTTGTGGTAAGGACGGATGTCTGGCTCCAGGCGATGGTGTGGTTGGATTCGATGGCGTGCTGGGCGACGGCGGAGTTGTTGAATTCCAGGGTGCTGTCAGAAAGGTGTTTATTGGTGGAAGCCTTGTGCTCTTTGATGCGTTTGAGGATGGGGCGGTAGGTCTGGCCGATGTAGCTGGCGGGGCAGTCCTTGCAGGGGATGGAGTAGATCGCGTTAGGAGTGAGGTGGGGAGGAGTAGGAGATTTGACGTTGGTGAGGGTGTCGCGCAGGGTCGTCGCGGAGGAGAAGGTAACATCGATGTCGTAGGAGGTGAGGATCTTCTTGAGGGGTTTGGACAGGGAGTGGTGGTAGGGTAGGCTGAATCGAAGGGAGGAGGGAGGAGAGCAGGTGCATTTGAACTGGCGGGCGGACATGGTAGTGGGGGAGGAGGTCTGCTTCAGGTGGATCTGGTTCATGATGCGGTCAACTCTAGGGGCAGGATGGCCGTTCGAGATGCAGATGGAGCGGACGGTTTGGAGTTCAGGTTGAAGGTGCTGAGGGGAGCAGAGGTTGTAGGCGCGGGTGATGAGGGAGCGGATGACGGAGTCCTTGGTGGAGGGTGCGGCGCAGGAGTTGTGGCGGGCATAGAGGTTGGTGTGGGTGGGTTTGCGGTAGACGGAGGTGGACTTATCGGGATGGATGAGGATGTCAAGGAAGGGAAGGTAGCCGTCTGAGGATGGGTGCTCGATGGTGTACTGAAGGTCTGGGCAGAGGGTGTTCATGAAGCGGTGGAAGGAGTCTGCATGCGGTTGATCACGGAAGGCGCCGATACCGTCGTCCACGAAGTGCCTGTAGTCATTTGGGGGGTCAGTGAAAGATGATAAGGCTGTAAATTTCTAACAAACATTCCCATGGCAGTAATATATGTGTAATAAAACCATCTTAGTTACAATGGTAGTGGAGTGACTCAGTGGTTTCGGCTCGCAGGTTCAACTTTCTCTTCTTAATAAATTTATTTTTGAAATTCGTTCATATTTTGAGTGATTTGTATGCATGTTTGCATGTTTGCTACCTATTTCACTGGTTTTAAAAGACTAATTTGAAATATGTAATTCTCAAGGCAAACTTAGATGAGCATTCCTATAACGATTATTTTATTATTAAGTTTTCAAATGCCCATTATAGAAATTAAGAACAAAATATTACATAGACCGTAGCATATTTATTTATATCCACTTTGTTATAGATGAACAATATTTTAAATTATAGGTAATAAGATCAGTACTGAATCGTACAGACTATCTTTTTATAGAGTCTAGAGATGAGATTGATATTTGTATTTATATATCGATTGATTGTTGTTAAATGTGAAATAAACAAATTATTATTTTCCCTAATTATTATTTTCCCTAATTAGTATATCTGGTGTGTTTCTGTAATGGTGGCAAACTACAAGCACAGAAGACTTGGTACACACATATCTATATTAAATTTAGAGCTATATACCTATGTCATTGAACCCATATGAATCAAGTAGTGCCACGTGGAAGATTGATGAACTCAGCATGAATAGTCATCCAAAGCAAAGTCCGGAATATCCGATTTGAAGCGCTCCTGGATTGTGGTGAAAAGAGGGATGTTCATGTTGGGAACTCCTGAAGAACACGGTCTGACGCCCACCTGAGTGCCACTGTGGGGAGCGTAAACTGCTGATCTGGATAATCTGGTAGATTTTGATGTCGTCGAAGGAGCAGCTGAGATAGGCCAATGCAAGATCACCAAAGGAGTGGGAGGGCGGTTTCTGGGAGGCGGAAACAGAACTATTGGCACCCTGCAGTCCCTTCTAAGTTTCATACATAGCACCCATATCCGCCACCCCCTGTTAAAACGCTCAAAATTCTGCATAATCTGAATACAGAATTATATTTTCTTGCTTAAAACGTATTTGTAACATTGGTATAAATTCATAACCTCAATCAGTCGAGTTGTGAAGCAATAAGAAGCAGAGACTTCATCAAATATATTTCGTAATCATCAGTGATATGACGTTTCCTACAATAGTTATAGTAAATGGTTAATGTCAATATTAGAGAACCCTGCTTGATTAATATGACGTGGCCTGTGGCCCAAAACTGCATCGAAGTAAAGGCGAATAATTTGATGAAGGAGGAACTCTACTATTAAATCTTCAGACAAGCCATTATTCTACACGATTTCCACGCTTTGTTCCTTCTGCCCCACATATCCTATTGATGAGAACCAGCTGACAACTGGTCGAAACCTGTCCAGAACACCTCAGACAGGCTAAGCTGCATGCAGGCTGTACCAAATTCCCAGAAAGTTCTGCCAAAAATAAATGATTTTGACCCCAAATTTTGTCGAGCCGCGAACTCCATGCGTTAACCCTAAATTTAGTAAGTGATCACTTACCCCCGCACGCTTCGCGTACAAGGGGTAAGGAACCAAGTGTTGCATATGAACTGTTGTGCGCGAGCAATCAAACACATACGATTATCGTGCTGCATTTTGGGAGTAAAATTGTGTATTAGGGAAGCGAAATAGAAACAAATGGTGTACGGCATCATGTTCGGCGTCCAAATCCAGTCCGGTCTACTTCAAGAAAGAAATCAAAGATACATTTAATAATGTAAAAAATTTAAAAATGCTAGACCCGGATCCGTGAATTCCACGGGCAAGACCCTGGTATATCTGGGGTCCAAGCCGCGCGCAAAAGTCAGTTGGCAGCCCCTGATCTGTGTCTGGCGCATGTAGACTCGCGCGCTCAGCGCTGCGCGCGCGAAGTATCAGGGCTATTGTAGCCAACCCTAAATCGTCAAAAAAAATAACACAGTTTCAGTGAGCGCGCAGTCCCCTGCTGATCGAAAATGTCGATTCCTGACCCCTTAATTAGTTAATTACCCTAAATTTGTATTTATTTGGCTACTCTTGACTATTTTGCACGAGGAACATGGTTAGATGAGTCTAGAGGCACATAAATTAGTCAAACCTAGTGGAAATTGATATGCGAACTTTTATTTGTTCATAAGGAACAACGTGATGAAAACAGTTTTCAAATTGACCAAATCTGTAAATAGTTATGGCAATGCGCACAATAAAAATAAAGTGATTTTTTGCGATTTAGGGCTTGCCATTTCCTATATAAATGCGCGCGTATCACGTACGTTTTTAGTGGCCCTTTTCGTACACGAGTCGTACGAGGAGGGCCACTAAAAAATATACGTTTTACAAAAAATGTACGTTTTACAAAAATGTACGTTTTTAAAAAAAGTATGTTTTTTTATAAATGCTATATTTTGTATATTTTATATATTTTGTATATTTTATATATTTTGTATATTTTATATATTTTATATATTTTATATATTTTGTATATTTTATATATTTTGTATATTTTATATATTTTGTATATTTTATATATTTTGTATATTTTATATATTTTATATATTTTATATATTTTGTATATTTTATATATTTTGTATATTTTATATATTTTGTATATTTTATATATTTTATATATTTTCTATATTTTCTATATTTTATATATTTTCTATATTTTCTATATTTTCTATATATTTCATACTAAAAAATGTATATTTTTTCGAAAGTGCTATATTTTTTATTAGTGGCCCTCCTCGTACACCGTACCAAGTTAAACTTGAAGGGCGCTACACGCACGACGAAAACTCCCTTTAATGTGAGCTGAAGTAGACTACTAGTAGTAGAGCTAGTAGCGCTTGAAATTGACAGAACTGAAAACGAAATCTGACAATTGTCGCGAAAACTGACAGTTTTGTGTGCTCGAAGTGTCGAGAAATACTGACAGTGCAAGACTGGGCACACAAGAGTGAGTTAAAACATCCTCCACACAACAAAAACTTGAATACACTAATAATAATCAATTATTAAAAACACACAAGCTCATTCTGCAGTCTTATTAGTCTTATCAGTACTCTTTATAGCACCGTTTCTGATAAAGTGTAGCTTATCAGGCTGCTCAGTTACCAGTCTTTTCATGTCACTGACGAGTTCTCTTTGCTTGGCTCTCTGTTCTGGAGATCGATCTGGGCTGATAAAAACAGTTTTAAACTTTTCCGTTGCTCGCAGGTTTCTCGATTTAGCGAGAATCTGATTAACAATTGTTGCACTTGCCGCAGTCACTTTAACTGGTCTCACAGCCTTGCCAGGTTTGAGCTTTCCGACTCTACTAGCTTCGATTCTGGGTTTCTCTCCGATTGCTGAGAACACTTCACTGACCACGGTGCTGAGCTCCTCATTGTCCTGCTCCGATAAACCAAAAATCATCAGATTTTTGTTTCGGTCTTCCTCCTGTACCACAGTTTTCACAGCTTTCTTGATCATTTCAGAACTGACAGGCTTCTGAGATTCTGGACAATTCGCCTGTAATACCGAGCTGAAGGATTGGAATTCAGCCTTGACAGACTCTCCGACTGACGATTTAACTGACGTCTGCAACGATTCCAACTGTTCATTTTTGCAGGCTAGTAGTTCTGACTGCAACTTAATGATGGTCTCCTGTGTCTCGAACATATGATGTTTAACTGAATTTGAGGCCATCTTGTAGTCCGTGGATACGACACCAGTGAACTCCTCCAAATATATTAATGCATCGTACAACAAGTCACACGCAGTGTCCTTGTTCATCTTCTTCACGCGCGAAGGGGATAGTTGCCCAATTGCTGTGATCTCCATCTCGTTCATAGCCTTGTTGAGAAGTTCAACTGAGTCACCCCTTAACATGTTGATCTCCTTTTCACCATACTCGCTGGGCGGGATGGTCATGGTCGTGTAACACGGTGATACACAAACCACTGTAGCTGCACGTTACAATCAACAGAGATAAGCACTAAGATAAGAGAGTAAGAAAAGAGCAACGTATGCAATTAGTGTAATACTGAACTGCAAATAATTAATCATCATCCAATATTTTACAAATACCACCGTACCCGTTAATGCTAGGCAGTGCGCCATCGACAATAAGACGCGCGCGCTGACCATTGAATGGTTTTTTAGCTCTTATTTCGGCCAGCACATTATTTTGGAAACAATCGAAAAGTTATAATACTTCCCATATAACAATTTTGTTGAAATTTAATCAGCTTACGTAAACACTTATATTCTACTGAACCTAATTTAGTTTGAGCAATTTCGATGGTCAGAATTTGAGTTATCAACGAATTTATACCTATTTTGTCATTTTTAGACCTCTTAATCAAGGCCAATCTCTCCCAACTAAATTAGGTTCGGTAGTTAAGTATGATTGGAAGGTTCTGACAAATTTTCAGCATGATTCATGTTCAGGAACCGAAGATATGACAGAATAATACGACAAAAATCAACGAATTTCGTCAAATTACGCGACTTTTACACCTAATTTTGCTCCAAAAGCCGCGCACCATCAAATATGGCACCTAGGCGAAACTCACTGATCATTCCAAAAAGGTATAATAAATTTGGTATTGTGAAAATTCTCACAGTCTCTAGAAAACGATGGTACAAAAATTTTGAAAATCCGAGCAAGTTTATTTTTATCAAGCACCGCCTATTAATGCCAATGTGCAATGCAGCCAAAATTTTCTAAATCTAATTTGTAATTTAGCGGAAACTATTGTCCATATTTGTAAATGAACGGAAACTATTGGCTTTTTAAAAAACCTAGTCTATACACTTTAGTGTTTAGCCGGCATGAAACAACTGCTAATATTAAATGGTGCAGACCCAGTTAAATACTATTAGCTTGTTAGTCTATTTAATTATGTATTATAGTATTCACTATTCTTTCACAATGCTGGCAAGCATGACCGTCGCTCTTATATTCACAATACTTTTTACCCCGGCCCTATCACGTACCTATGGCTATATAATATTATTATAAAATATAACCCCTTTATTGTTTTTCATATCAGGCATTAACAATTAATAATACGGCAAAAATTTTGCAAAAAACCGGAAGTCTCCATTTCTTTTACTTTCAACGTCAAAAGTTAGGCCCCCAGCCAATAAGGTTTCCTGGGCTCTAGCGCTCTACCCATAATTATATTATGGGTCCCTGCGGTTTCTTAGCGTTCGCGACTATACCCATTTGTGATTCCACTGTGTGGACGTAGGTATGACAAATCATATATCTTCGTAAAGTACATCCTCTGACTAGGAAATCACAAGTTTAATCAGTTCTGGAGACTGTTCCTGGACAGAGTTATGACGGTTTAAAACTTCCGCGCCGCGCAATAGCCCCAAAATGGCTAAAAATATACATCGTCGGAGAATAACTTTGCGTAGGGAATGCGCGAGCACGACAATATAATAGTTAACATTGATTTTCGGCCGCCGGCACCATAGCCTAGTTGGCTAAGAGGGCGATTGACCGTGCTAGCTGAGGGTTCGAATCCCGGTCTGACCTTTAATTTAGTTTGAACTGAAACAAGTTGTTTACTATTTTCATCAAAAAGCTTCTCTAGTGTTAGGTTAATATTGATTAGTTAATCATATTACAAGTTGTACTATAGGATGAAATGCATAATTAGAAATGGGAAAGCAGCTATACGCAGAGCGTCGTTATGCTACAATATTATAGTAATAACATTGTTTGTCTCAGATTATTTTTAATACAAGAAGCGACCAGCATCGCATCTTCATCGATTAGTTCGGAGTCGTCGCTGTATTCAGCTATAACATTGATTTTTAATTGATGCTATAGCAGATATGAGCAGCTTTAATCAGTCTGATTTGGTAGGTTTTGGGCTGGGCACAGTTTGTTAAGGATTCTGTTTCTATCTGTTGTAAAACTTAATGGTCTGCTGTGAAAAAAACATTTTGAAGGCAGAAAGCTCTGGATTGGTCTTTTAAATGCCTTTCTCAACGACAATCCCTCCTTAGCAGTTACTTATATTAAAACTTTTTGTTCGGACTATTGACATGTAGTGTCTGGAGAAGGAGGGCAACAAAGGAGCACTTCTCAGTTGTACAGTGGGCATTTCTAGACGCTGCTATCCATTACCTTCGACATCTGAAACAGATTTTAATATAAGCAACTAATTAATAATACGGGTGAGACTTAAGTTTCAGTAAAATTAAATCTGACACTTGTGTGCAGTAGCGAGAGAAAATCCAGTGCATCTCAAACTATAATGGCGCAGGAGGGTCAACCTGAAAAGAACATTGCTTGACCCTCCTGCCCCACCGCATGGATCAGGAGGTTCATTTCAGAAACAGTGCTTGACCCTCCTGCCCCACCACATGGATCAGGAGGTTCATTTCAGAAAAAACAGTGCTTGACCCTCCTGCCCCACCACATGGATTACGGGGGTCACCCACAAAAACAGTGCTTGACCCTCCTGCCCCACCACATGGATTACGGGGGTCACCCACAAGACCATGTGCGCTGCACTTATTTCTACATCGCGCGCGATACGTGTGTGCGTGATTACATGAAATATTACCGCGCCCTACGCCAAGTAGACGAAAAGCGTGGTCGAAGAGCGAGAGTCGGTACAATAAATAAAACGAGAGTTGGTACATTTAACTGGCATTTTTTAACCGTGGTACAATCAGAATTGAATACAGCCGACACAGGATGAGGGGGGGGGGGGGCAATGACTACTGATGGAGACTTTTGAGCACCAATGGGGACGAAAATCATAGGGACTGAAGGTCAAATCGCTGGTGAAATTTTCCATTTGTCCCCATAAGTACCCAAAGTTTTGGCGAGTTTTATGTAGTTTTGATATTATCTTTTATTAAATGACTTCTAAAGGAGACTTTTGGGTACCAATGGGGGCTAAAAATCTTGGAGACTTGAGGTTAAATTGCTGGCGAAATTCTGCACTTGTCCCCAAAGTACCCAAAGTCATTGGCTCCCCCCCCCCCTCCCCCGGGTGAGGTGACGGAGAAAAATAAACTGAGCTCAAGGCTACATTTCCAGATATCCCGCCACGGCACCGTCGCTCATGCTGCAAAGTGTGTTGAGAGATGCCCACGTCATCACACGTAAACTGTGTCACGAATACCTGAAATGCAGACGTGCAGAACAAACATAACTCTGATCTATATTTTTCATAAAACTTTCAGGATTTGCCAATGAGGGAAAAGACAGCACTGTCCGAGAAGCTAGAAATGCATGAATCATAGGTGACATGGATAGGGGTAAGAAGTTTTTTTAAAACATGAAAATTGTGAAAGGAAAAGAAGTAGAAATGAGAAAGGGTAGATTTAAAATGTTTGAGAATCGATTTTGTGCTGAAGAACTCCGTCCGCAGGACGGGCTTCCGGCTACTTATGATAATTCGAATAAATTTGAGATTCAAACAAGCTACGAATACGAATGCTTATAGCAGTGGCAAGCTCTTGTTTGCTGCGCATTGGCTGCAATGTATAACCGCAGTATGAACTGTCAAAATATTTGAATTTGCTTACCTAGTGGCTTTGTTTGATAAAGCATACCTACTTTATATACCGATAAATCAATAACTCCTTTTGATTCTTCGGTTTGAGAATTGTGCGGTCACACATCTCTGCAATGTCTGAAAAGGTGGCAGGGAAGTATTGAAACTTACTTAACACTATATTTACAGTTAAACCTTGAACTACTATAACTAGGGCAGTAGGAAACGCCAAAAAGTAGATCATCTGACTAAAACAACTTAACTTCATCCAAGAGTCTAGTTAGCAGCATTGTAGCGATAAGATACCACCATAGTTTGAGCTGTCGACACTGAAATAAAACAAACAATTTACTTTTCACTACTGCAGGGGAATGCATGTAACATATAAAGAATAAAGATATAATATATTGTATGTTTTTCATCGTGGCCTCAGGGGAGAAGGGCAGCTCGAAAAACCGAAAAAAGTCTAAAAAAACCGTGTTGGAGCTGGTGAGTTAAAGCTACCGATCTCGATCGTGAGAGTCAGATGATCAGATCGCATGTAACGTGAGTTTCGCCCGCCTGAATAAGGCAACATGAAATCATATTGCTGGTGACAGGTCTCGACCAAGATGTAAAATAAAGATACCCCAAATTTGTTATTTTTAAGCCGATTCACATCGACCCAAGTCTCTGCTTTGACCCTAAATGCTCAAACTTCGTTAATAGATTGGAAAATCGTGTTATGCTTGTTACTAATAACTGTTGTTTGTGAGAGGACATCTCGATTTCCCGGATCAGAGGATCACACCAATGAAGGGTTGATTGTGCATGTGTGAACTTGACTAAATTTTCAAATTGCCCGATTTTTTTTCAGTAGGTCACATTACTCGTGACGTGCAAATGTATCTTTTGTCTTTTAATAGGTCAAGCTCAGAGCTTTAAAGCTTTAAAGACTTCTCCGTGACAAAGACGGCCGACATATATCTTTACTCCAGGAAAAGTCAGAACTCTTTCCACACCACATTCTTAAATGTACACGACAGCAGAACGACGATGTAGCCCCACGCCGCAGTAAACTTTAAATTTCTGACCCGGAACGAGCCCAGCAACTGTAGACAGCTGCGTGAGCTATGTACGGTTAGCAGATTTAAGAGCTTATGCAATAAGCAGTCACCGTTCACTCTCATTTTTGACTTTTCTTCTTTTGAACAACAAATGTCCATTGAATGATGCCAAGCTAAGCGATTATGATTAGAAAAGTACCGTGATTTACACTGATGGCTCATACAAGGACTTGTTGGACTTCGTGAATTTGGAGGACCTGCAGCTGTAATCAGTACTTCACTACCAGATGTGCGAGGCCGAGGTTCCCGTTTGACAACATTACAAGTGGACCACCCAGGCCGGGATGATCACGCGCTAGTTGACATGAGATCTGATTCTCCCGGGAAAATTGGGCGAGATGACCGGTGTCCTGTCAGAGGTCACGGATACAAGGATACAAAAATATAAATATTTTATTGTACAATTACAATAGTCGTATAAACTTGACAAATTCGCCTACCATCACGTGACCCTCGTCAACGAGCAAGTGAAAAATGTGTTCACAGCATTTATATTATACGGTAACTACACCATAGATTGACAAGCTAAGCGTACAGAAAAACGTCCAACTCCTGACTATAATAAAACTCCGGTATAATAGCGTTTTTGACGGAGCAATTTAATGGCCTGGAGTAGGAAACTTTGTTGACCGGAATAAATTGATCCGAAAGGCGAAAGATACATATGAGAGGCCATCATAAGATGGTACCAAAATATCTCTGTGAAAAGTCCTTTTTACTTTTTTAAGCGTCAAAAGTCGGTGCACTTACTTTATCCATCGAAAAAAGGCATCCCCTGGTGGCTCGTAAAGTATCGATTTTAGCTGTCTAGTAGCCATCTTCTGTGCTCTCTGGCAGTCTAAGAAGAAACATTATTATATACGACTCTATACAAATAATCTTATTATAAAACAGGATCATACATAGTTAATAGAACTCCATTAAGAAAACATCTTAACTACGTAATCTGTGCCTAGTACAACAGTTTCCAACACTTCCTACAGCTAGCAATATCCCTTATTTCATTTAAATCACTCAAATTTCTAAGTTCTAAGTTTCTATATTTAAGGTCATCAACAAGCATATTTGATATAAGTTTGTATTAGGTCTACCAACACGCCCTTTAAATTTACCACTACTATTTAACACAAATTTCTCTTTGTGATGAAAAAGTTTAAAGAAGCTTTACAACTTAACTCAAACTAATGCTTCTGTCTGTCTGCTGCATTTGAGTTTATTTCTAAATGATTCGCAGCTTTCGGTAGCTCCATGTTCAGCCCACCATGCCTGAAAAAATTTGGTTCACAATAACTTTGGTTCCCATAAATATTATGGTTACCATAATATAAGTCACAAATTTTGTTAATTTCAAGTCAACAACAATATTAGTCGTACCTTAGTTCCCAAAAATTTGTGTGCCATTATATTGAGCACAATTTATTTGAGCCCCAAAAATTTGGGCAGAAAATTTGAACTCATTTGGGCGACCGAAAATTTGGGCACAAATTCTTCGAAAAATGAACGATTTTCCACTAAAATTTCAGTTAGATATTTGCCTTAGTTCATTATTATTCCTTATTATTCCAGTCATTTTCCTTTCAATTTTTTGTTATTCCAGTTATTTCTATTCATTTAAAATATAAGCCTTTTTACTTGGTCAAGCCATGAATGACAGATTAGAAAACTAAAATTTCAAATATTATTTCACTTTACTTGGATATGAAGAAAAAGCCATCTTTCTATAGATTTCAGGGCCACAGGCCAAATGCCAAAAGTTTGGTTAGCAAAAAATTTAGCAGACGGAAAAGATTTATGCAATTAATTTGGTCTGCAAAAAATTTGGGCGAGAGGCCCGCTCAAATTTTTTGTCGCCCAAATTTTTGGGAATTAAGGTATTTTTAAGACCATTTTTCCATATCATTTAATTTTTTTTAATTTATTCAGCTAGCTTTTTTTGACTAAAATATTTTCGATCTGGGAAATTATTTAAAGACGAGTCAACATTACATACATCAATTACATAGCATCACATACATTTACCTATAACACGCAGTAGCGACTTGTATAAATTTAACGATACTTAAATTCGTTAAATCATATATCATGTATATGCTCTGCTGAAATCTTAGTCTCCTTTAAAATAAGTCCTCCCATGAAATTTAGTTTACAACAATTTTAGGCAATTGTTTGACTTAATTTATGGTATAATAGATTTTTCGTTCCTGAGGAAAGGGAATTTCGGCGGATATAGTAACACCAGAAAATATTGGTTTATGTAAATTGAGTTTACGTTGTTTATCAATGATTCGAGGGCACTGCAACGAGAATTAGAACAATTAATCAAAAATTACTGCCTAAACATTTAATGACCAAAACCTAACGAGCTTAACCTCTGTCACTCTTTTTCGGAGATTCAATATCATTTGACACAACTCTATGGATTAACTATATGATTTTTTAAAATAGGAAAACTAATCTGGTTGTATCCTAGCAGAACTGATTATTATATACGTTAAGAACAGTGTCAGCTGGAATATTCA